TTTCCCTATGGCTGCACTCTCTAGGTGGAGGCTTCCCCTCGACCGTGTTGCTGTGCCCCTGGCTTTATCCAGTCAGGGGCGCTGTGTGTGAGCAGGGCTTGCTCCTGCGTGGGTGTCGCTGTGAGAATTCGGAGACCACGCCAGGTTTTTATCAGGGGGACATTAGTGTATCATCTGGGGGTCTGTGTTCTGAAACAGCTCAGTTTCTTCAGTTTTCTGCCTAGGGAGGAGTTATGGCATGGCTGCTTGCTTTCCAGAAACTGTGCCAAGGGGAGATGGAGTTTTACTTTTCATTGTACAGCCTCTTCCCACCTCTGAGCCTAGAAATGCTTCGACTTAATATCTCCAGAGAATATACATATAGATTCTTTACAAGGTGGACTTGGGGGCTCTGGCGACAGATTTTCAGCTGACCTACTTGGCTTTTGTTTATGGTTCACCTGCTTTTAGAGGAGCCATGTGCCTCTGAGTCTGCCCAGGGTTTTGGGCAGACTGGCTTTTTGTTTTTTTGTTTTTTTGGCTTGTCCTTCCTGTCCCAATACTCTGTAGGCACCAAAGTTGTGCTTCCTCTGTTTTTCCATGTCAGTTAACGCTCCTTTATCTACTTTTCATCATTCAAACACTTACTAAAAATCGTCTGCTGTCTGGGACCAGCAGTTAGTGTAATGGTGACGTTGCTGGATTCCCATATAGTTGACCATGGTTCGAGTCCCAGACCTGGCGATTTAAAACTCACTCCAGGTATGAATGTGTGTGTCCAGAATCTTGAGAGAAGAAGGGATTGTGGTGTGGCCATGCCCCCTCGGGGGGTGATTTCTCAGTTCTTGTCTCTGTCTTGTGAGTGCACATGCCCTATAGCAAAAGTCTCTTTCTCAAAAAAAAAAAAAAAAATCATCTGCTGTTAAGACTGTCTCCTGGTCTTGCGTATAACCTTTATTTTATACCTTTAATTCTGATGAGACTTAAGGAGGAATGACTCTGTGGTTGGTTCACCATGTTTAACCCAAACCTAGAATTTATATTCAAAATATAAATAGAAGTTTAAATTCAGTATACTTAATATTATTACAGAATTAGCATGTTACGCTTCCCTACTAAGGCTTTGTTTCAGGATTTATATTCCTGTACTCAACCTGTTATATTGTCCCGTTAATATGCAACTTAGGACAGTTTTCATTAATGCACACAGTGCTAGAAACTTTTCAGATAATTAAATATATTCTTTTTTTATGTTATTAAAATGAGAGATACAAAGAGTAGACTTCAGTTTTATTTCTTTTAGTGGATTCAAATAAGAGGCAGCAGGCCCAGTGGGAAAAATTGAGTGAGTAGGGGCAAGTTTCAATAGGTACTTGACTTTTTTTTTTTTTTTTTGTTTTTTTTTGAGAGGTATTTTTTGCTATAGGACGCGTGAGCTCACCAGACAAAGAGAGAGAGAGAGACAGAGAGACAGAAAGTGAGAAATCACCCCCCAGGGGGGATGGCCACGCCGCAGTCCCTTCTCCTCCCTTCTCTCGGGATCTTGGGCATGCACACACATGCACCCGGTGTGAGTTTAAGCCACTGGGTCTGGGACTTGAACCATGGTCGACTACGTGGGAGTCCAGCGACATAGCCATTACACTAACTGCTGGTCCCTGGTACTTGACTTTTAATGGTAAAGTTTGGGTTATGACTTCTACTAGGTATGATGATTTTTTGGTCTTTGCCATTTAACCTTAGTTCTACTAAGTACCCCCTTCCCTTGCTTGCTAAATATGGTTAAACTCCATACTGTGTCATTTGTGCTGATGGAATGAAGATAAATAAATGGTATTCTTTGTTCCTATTTTAGCGACCACCTGAAATAATCCCTATAAACAGTGTGCTCTCAATAGTGTTTTGTTGTTTGCCTTTCTTAGCATTTGCATTTCATGCTTTATATTTATGGCATATTGGAGATCTGCAATGGTAAGGCGTTAACAAACATAAAGGACAGTTGTCAAGTTCTCAAGCAAGCAGAGAGGAAAGATATTGGCAGTTATATTCCAGCCTTTGCTCAGAGGCTTAATTCTGCCACTTCTAGCCTCAAATCTAGATTCTTTATATGGTGGGCTTGGAGGCCCACCTTACGATGATGCTCTCGATGCCGAAAAGTTTGAGTAGTTTGAGGTGAATGCTGTGCCCCTTGTGTATATTAAATAGAGGGGTTTTGCATTCATTCTCCTTTTTTGGTCACCTTGAGATTTTGAAATAGCTTGATTGGATTAAAAAACACGCACACACAAAACAAGAGGGTAGAAATAGCCATTTTCCTGGAATGAGTAATTCCTCTAGCTTTAAGTAGGAGTTCAGTGTAAGTCTGGACTGACACAGAGTGTTGCTGCACCTAGCCAGTAGATGAGCAGTTGTTGATTCACTCAGTCAGTCCCCACAGGGCTGTAAGAACACACCTAGTTAAAAATTGTACATATTTTAGGCCTAATATTTTTAAAGACAAACCTGTATACATTTATGATAGAAAATTTTATTTTTAAATAATTATTTAATTTTATTGATTATTATTTTAAAATTTGTTATAGGGCATGCACGTTCACCAGAGAGAGACAGAGGGAAAAAAGAGAGGGAAAGTGAGAAAGCAAGCTGCCAGATCTGGGACTCTGAACTGTGATCGGACATGTAGGAGTCTATCACCCTAACCACCATGCCACCTGCTGGCTCCAGTGGTTGAAAATTTTAAATAGAGGAAAATGGGAGAAAAATGTAACCCCAAAGCTCTCCCAAGTAGTCTTATGTTTTCGTGCATTTCCTCTTTTTTTTTTTTATTCTTATATATTGGCTTTGTCAGAATTGACTTTTATTATACTATAACAAAATAATATATGCTCCTAAGAGTAGTGACCTAAAATGATGCTTCCACTTAGAATAAAAGTATTTGAATGAATAGGTTTTCATGCTGTATTGTTTTTGTGATTATAAAAGTATAGTCAGCCCTCTATAGCTGCATTTCTGGGTCTGTATGTTTAACCAACCTCAGATCAAACATATTTGAAAAAAAATTGGTTGCATCTGTGCTGAACATGTTCAGACACATTCTCTCGGTCATTATTCCCTAGATAATATAAAATAATCATTTAAATTGCATTTATATTGTATTAGGTATTGTAAGTAATCTAGAGATGATTTAACATACACAGGAGGATGTGCATAGGTTATATGCAAATACTGTACCATTTTATGTAAGGGCCTTGAACGTCTGTGATTGTGGTATCACCAGTGGTCTTGGAACCAATCCCTTGCAGGTACTTAGGGACAGCTGTACATAGTAACAGTAACACACGTGTACAGTTAACATAAAGTGTACGTGTTAACTGAATAACTTAAGAAATGCATCAGAGTTTAGATAGAGTTAAAACATCTCTAGCTTGAAAGAGAATTTAGTCCTCCAAATAGTAATACTTCTAAAAATATAACTTCTGGGACTTTTTGTTACTAAGGAGTAAGTGGCTTTGAGTGAAAACATCTGAAACAAGCAAAGTGGTGTTCTACTGCATGGATATTTTGGATTATTGGCTACTGGCAACTTCTAAATACTTTATAAAAGCATCAAATAGATCTTCTCCCTGCCTTGTCTTTCATGTGTTTTTGCCAGATACTGATGAAAGAGTATGACAGCATGATGAAATCTGTTCTTTAAAGAGGAGGAAAGAAGGCTTATCTGAATTAATTTCCTTTTTTTTTCCCTAAAAGCATTAATATTGGTATTCTGTGGTTTTAAAGAATGATACTTTCATTTGTTTGTAACTGGGATTAGGTCACTGGCCATATATTCAAGGAAGAGGATTGTCTTACCATAGTTTAGGCTGTTTCAGTATTGGATTATTGCTATATTTTTGCACTCTTCACAAATAAATGGATACTTCTAAAGTGTTTTAAACATAGTTTTTTTCTCAAGAGGGCCCAAAAAGTTCGTTGTCTCCTCTCCAATATGCTGCAGATAAATGATCACTAATTTATATCTATAGTAAGATTTACTTTACAAATTGTAGCTGATTTTAAATAATAATTTGTCAAACACTTGTTGAAATCCTAATTTATCCCAAATCCTGTGCTCAGCAACTGGAGGTAAGAGGAGTTAGACTCCTCCCTTTTCTGAGGAGGTTGACTTAGGGAGATGCCCTGCAAGCAGTTTTCACCATGTAACAAGAGGTGGATTAGACAGATGCTGTACAAGAAGGTGGTGGTGTGGCTGCTGGCAAGGAAGTATTGATAGGGTGAGTCAGGCCTGCTAGGGGAAGGAGAGAGAGGGAGGCAGGAGAGTGTCACCATGGGGTCAGGTAGTTTATAGAGTAAATTTACTGTAACTTGTGAATGAATAGGAAGCATTTTCTTAGGTTTGCAGTTGAACAGTGTAATGGCAGTCTTACTTATACACAAAATAAAAGTTACATTCACAGAGTTGTTCTTGTCTTTTGGTTTTTGGCTGAGAGAATCGTAAAGCACTTGTTTTTTTTTCTTCCATGTAAGGAAACGGGCCCAGAGAGGTCCTGGGGCCTTCTAGTGATCCAGTAGCCCTGGCACACACAGCCACTGACTCAGAAACATCAGCTTCTCACACTATCTCCTGAACTAGTACGTTTAGTGTCAGTAAACTAGTAAATGTATTGAGTATTGATTTACTGCAATAAAATACTCTTGCACCAATATTATTTAAGGTATTACATTTTATTGTAGTAAAGGAATAGTAAGTTGAAATAGAAAGTCTCAGTTGCTTTTCATTGCTTGAGGAAAAAAAAAAAAACAAAACAAAACACTGACATTGTATTCTGAGCTGTTTACATTATTACATTATTCTGAGCTTAACCATAACCTATGATAGATATAGGTGCTTGCCAGGTTTGATTATATAGGTACCGTAGCAAGGGCAGCATTTTATAACCCATTCCTCCTACGTTGTCTGTGGAAGTTAAGTGCCTCCGATGGGTTTCCCGTAGAGCCCCACATGATATCACACTCAAGCAGTTCAGGAGTATAAGAGATACCTTAATGCTTTATCGTGTGACATTTTAACCAAGGAAAAAAACCACACTTTTATAGGTTTAACTCACTGTGACATTTTCTTCTATTTCCCTTCCCCTTCAGGTATCTCCAGGGCATCTTACTAAAAAGTATAGCTCATGCTCAACAATATTTCTAGATGACAGCACAGTCAGCCAGCCTAATCTTAGAACCACAATAAAATGGTGAGTACCACTAGGTTGCCGAGGGCTGAGGGACAGACCCCTTTGTGCTAAAAGCATCCAGCCGTACTAAGTAACTCCAGCCATTTGCTTGTCCTTTCAGGAATCAGTTTAAGAAATTGGGGTCCACTCTATATTGATTTCGAGAACTTATCTATGAATTTCCAGTTTCTGTCCTAATCTTAGACTGCATGTTAGAAGGGAAAAGCCAGTTAGCAAACAAGGAATCTCAGCAACAGTGCAGCTGTGTATTTGCTGCACTTGGGTTAAGATCTGGTTGAACATAATGAGAAGGAGAAGTGAATTTTGTGTGTTTCTAGAAAAACACAGATGTTAGGAGTTCGAGCCCTAAAGCTGTGTCAATTACTCTAGAAGCTGCTCTTGAGGTAGGAGCAGCGCGTCCCCTGCTGGCTACGTAGTGACCTGTGCTTCCACTTCTCCATCATATGTCAGTGCCTCACAGCTTCAGTAGGGGTGCACTCTCAGACACCTTAAGACAACTCTCAGACTTGTTTAAAAAGTGGTAACAGAAAAACGACTTCATTCGGTCTGTCCAGGGAACATTATTAACATCTCCTTGGGCTATGTGTGAGTTGATTTTCAGAACAAAGTTTGCAAACACTAGAATATTAATCCCCCAATCTCTTAATTTTTTTTAGTTTAAAAACATAATTATCTTATAAGCTTAATTTTGTTTCTAATATGCCACCTTTTTAAGCTAAATCGTCAGTAACTTCTTTAATGAGAAACTGCAAGTTCACACTCATAATAATGTAACTTTCCTCTCTTATTTGTAGCACTAGCAGAAATCAAATTGTGTTTCAGCAAAAACCAGGCCCCGCTCTGGCTAACGTCCCAAACTTTGGCACCTATCGAGTAGCCACTGAATGTTTGTATTCAGCCAGGGCCCTAAATCCATGAGTGAAAACCCATTCTACTTTGACTATAGAGTCCTCAGCTTCTAAAGAGTGGTGTTTCAGTATATAGTAAAGATTAACCTTGCTGAAACAAGTAGGTTTAGTCTAATTTTTAGAAGTTTACTTTTGGAAGTTAAATTTTTATTTGCTCTTGTTACATTGGCAAAATAATTGTTTACTGAGCAAGTTAATAGGACAAATTGGCTTTTAGGAAAGATTTTGAAAAATGTTTATCATCAGGTAGTAGCGCACTGTTCTCAGTGGGATGGGTGAACCAGACTCACTTGTGCAACTTTGCTTACCATACATGTCTGAAGACACACGCCTTTTCCAACTTCTACCTTTTCTCTGTCACTAGGCACTCAAAAGCCTTTTCAAAAACTGGAAAAGGATGTAAAGATACAATATGGACGAAAGCCCCCCAGCCGATTCTGAGCTTAACTGTAACTCGGTCATTCCCAGATTTTGCTGCACAGTGAAATCACCCGGGAACTTTAAAACCTATGTTGATACTCACGTCATTCCTAGTGCCGGCCAAGTCAGAATGTCTCAAGGTGTAAGACAGGCCATTTTTTAGAGCTCCTCAGGTGATTTCAGTGTCCAGCAGAGTTTGTGAACCACTGCCTAATTAGAGTGTAGGAGAGAGAACTGTTTATAACTATTTGATGGGACCTAATTTCAAATTCTGTGATCCAAGAATCAATTTGGAGAAGAAACTGTTTGAAGCACTATAGAAGTATCCATCTTTGATGCTAATAATATTTCAGGCTTAAAAAGAAAGTGCTAATAACTTTATAGACCTACCTTTAAAATTCAGATGTGCCTTCCCTCAATTATTTTGAGCTTCATTTTAGACCTTGAGGGCAACTGGAAGCATGTAACTTCGCTGAGAGAACCCCTCCCTACTGACATACAACATCTGTGGGTAGCTTAGGACTCTAGAAACAGTGTCCGAAGACTCATATTTTTTCATTAATATTTTATTTAAACTAATTTGGAAATAACTGCCATTAATAATATACCGTACAGTGTTATACTGCATTTTGTTAATGCTACTTATTTCAGAAAAGGTAGACCTGATACTGATTTTTGTGGGTACTTATATTTACTAACAAGTTTTCTACTAACAGTATACAGGGGTGATTTTAAATGACTTTATTTGGTGTAAACACTTTACTTACCTTTAGGCAAATGGAAGTGGTGGATAGGTAGCCCATGTTGCAGGGCCCGCCCACCCATTGTTCATGGCACCTCACGGACCACAGTAGGAGGTGCACTTCAAAACACCTTAACAAACAAAGCCATATTGTTGGAATATAATGTACACAGATAAGATAATATGTACAACTTAAAAGATTCTTTGGGTAGAAGGCTTAATATGTAGTAATTTATACAATAGTCAGCAAAAGCATGTCTGTGAATAGGATATTGCCTAGCATTTTGGTTCTCTTATTTTCACTTAAAGCCAAAGAACTAAAATCGGGGAAAGTGCCCATAGGAAACTAGAAGGTTTGAGGGCCCCTGGGAAGGGTTGCCCCTTGTCCTTTCCTTTAAAAATGTCTTTTGAGCTAGCAAATGATAAAATCAGTCGTAACAGTTTTTTGTTTGTTTGTTTGTTTTTCCTTCCACAGTGTGACCTTAGCAATATATTACCACATAAAGAACAGGTGAGCTCTTTTAAACCCTGTGTTGTTATTCCAGCTAATTGCTTTGCATGGTGTCTAGTTTAGTATTAGATCATAACTGTAGACATAAGCTATAGAATACTTTCAATACAATACTGAAGTGAAGCATTTGTAGATTTTTTTTTACACCCCAGGACACTGGGGTGTAAGAAAAATCTATTAAATTGTTTAATAATTTTTAAAAAATGTATTAAGGATCCTAAAGAGTATTTATTCAAATGATACTGATACATACTTTGTTATAAAATTAAAATTAAGAACTACAAAAGAACTACTGTTTGTTCAAGAAGGGTTTCTCAACTTGGCACTGCTGATTTTTGAGCTAGATGGTTTTGTGCGAGGGGGCTGTCCTATGCACTGTGGGGTGCTTAGCAGCAGCACTGTTCTCTTCCCATTTGATGCTAGAGGCATCCCCTTTCCTCCCCACCAGCATTGTGACAACCGAAAATGTCTCTTGGAAGACAAATCACTTCTGACTCAGAATCACATTGTTTACATAATAGTATTTTTTTTATGAAGAGTAACTGTTTTCTGCAACATAAAAGTTGAGTGAGAAGTATATAATTTATTTGCATTTTTGCATTTTGCATTCTCTATTGTCTGGCTTAATAGAAGACAGTTGGATTCTCATGTCTGTCTTTGTTTGCAATTTGCTTTGAGGAGAGGATATAAAGATAACCTCGCTTGGTGCTGATATAAAGCTTTCATATTGTTGTGGATATCAGTACTGCATCAGAAATCCACCTGTGCTAGTTTCTGAAATTAGTTTATGAACTTGTTATGTTTATGTGGTCAGCCCACGTATCCGACCAGGGATAGAAAATATTCAGGAAAAAAAATTTCCAGAATGGTCCAAACAGCAAAACTTGCTGAGTACCTAGTATTTTACTGAATCCATGGAGATGCAGTGATGTGGGGGGCATTGTGTTAGGTATTGTATGTAACTGAGATGATTTAAAGTTTGCGCGTGGATGTGCGTAGGTTATGTATAAATACTGTGCCGTTTTATAGAAGGGACTTGAGCACTTGTTGATTTTGGTATCTGTGGGAGGTTCTCTGCAGATACTAAGACTTTACTCATTGATCTGCTTGCACTATGAGTGGATGTGGATCTTTTACTCATACATCTTTTTATGATATTATGCATTGATCATTTGGAAAATATTGTGTTGTTTCTTTATAGGGTCAAAAATTCATTCATATTAGTATCACCACCAGTCTTACCAAGACTATTGTTTCATTAACTTTTTTGAAGGTTTTTGCCAGAAGAGAAAAACCTTGTACGACCTTCCCACTTATTCAGAATATTAAATGCACTTGCCAGAGAGACAGAGAAAGAGACATAGGGAAAGTGAGAAGTCATTCCCCCGGGGAATGGCCTTCCCCATTCTCCTCTCAGGTTTGGGCACACACACATGTGCCTGGTGTGATTTTATAAGCTACTAGGTCTGGAACTCACATTGTGGTTGACCATTTGGGAGTCCAGTGTCTTAACTGCCATGCCCCCTGCTGGCCCCAGTACTGAGACTTTATAAAATCAGGCTCACAGTAGAAAGGACAAGTTTTTCAAAATCCTGATTTTTAGTTTGAAAGCTTAATTTTTATCATTGGCACCAGGTACTTGTTATTTTCCTTGAAGTGATACACTCAACTTTCTTTTCGAGAGTGATGCTTATACTTTCAGATAAAAATGGTCTCCTGGGAACCAGCAGTTAGCGTAATGCCTATGTCGCTGGACTCCCACGTAGTCGACCGCGGTTCGTGTCCCGGACCCGGTGGCTTAAAACTCACGCCGGGCGCGTGCGTGTACGTGCCCAAGATCCCGAGAGGAGAATGGAGGAGAAGGGATTCCAGCGTGACCATCCCCCCTGGGGGGTGATTTCTCGCTTTCTGTCTCTATGTCTCTCTCTGTCTGTCTGGCAAGCGCACGCGCCCTACAGTGAAAATCTCTCCAAAAAAAAAAAAAAAAAGGTCTCCTATGAAAAAAGCTGCTGTTTGGCACGCGACTGAATCACAAGTGCTTTTCCTTAACCAAACTTTAGTATGCGGAAGTGCTCTATGTGAACTATTCCACTTACTCAGAATATTAAGTAGAAGAATCAAGATTTTTTTTGGGGGGGGAGAGGTGTTTTGTTTTGTTTTGTTTTGTTTTGCTATAGGGCGCATGCGCTCACCAGACAGACAGACAGAGGCAGAGAGACAGAAAGTGAGAAATCACCCCCCAGGGGAGATGGCCACGCTGCAATCCCCTCTCCTCCGTTCTCCTCTCGGCATCTTGGGCATGCATGCACACGCGTCCGGCATGAGTTTAAGCAGCCCAGTACAGGACTCAAACTGCAGTCAACTACATGGGAGTCCAGCAACATAGCCATTACGTTAACTGCTGGTCTCCATCAAGGAGATTCTTATGTGAAGCAGGCTATTCCCCTCCCACCCCCACTGCAAGTAGCAGTGAAGAAAATGATTACTAATATAATTTGGTACTGCAGCCTTGATTCATGCTGAGAAACCAGCAGTTTTGTCCACTTTTTCTTTTATACTATCATTGCAAATGTGACACAGTGAAAAAGCAGGTAGTGTCTTGGAATTTTTTTTTTTTAGAATTATTTTATTCAAATATATATGTGTGTGTATGTGTATAATTTTTTTGTCTTTTTTTTTTTTTTAATTTGCTAGAGAGCACATGTGTTCACCAGAAAGAGAGAGAGAGTGAGATAACACTCACTGTTCCTCTTCAGTCCCTTCTCCTGCATTCTCCTCTCAGGATTTCAGGCATGCACATACATGCCCAGTGTGTTTTTTTCTTGATTATTATTATTATTATTATTTACATTCAATTGCTATACAGCATTTAGATTTTAAAGAGACTTTACCCACCATGATATTACACCTCATTTCAGTCCAGTTGAGAATACCATATACGTCCTCATCAACAGATAATTTGACCCAAGATGGACAAAGTAAGAGAGAGAGGGAAAGTGAGAAAGCAAGCTACCAGGTCCAGGACTTGAACTGTGGTTGGCCATGTGGGAGTCCAGCGTCCACCACACCATGTGCCACACCGTGTCTTGGAATTTTTATGGGGACAGTTTTGACCATCCAGTAAGAGGGTTCTGGAATCTCCAGAGGTTACAGACTATACTCAGAGAATGACTGGTTTAATTAAGTACAGAATATTAGTTTTCTGAACTTTTAAATAAAAGGTTGACTGGGTCTTTTTTAAGATAAAAAAGCCATTAAGTTTTAACTCAGACTGTTTAAGAGAAAAGAAATGTATGGTAAGAACATAAAATAGAGGAAACCCTGGGATATCTGGATCTCATATTCATATTCATTAAGTTCTAAGGACCTTATTGTTGTGCAAAATATTCTTGTGTATTCCATTATAAGGCTAGAGGAGTAAAAATGTATTTGATTGGTTACTATTACCTGTTAGGTAGGGTCATTAATTAAAGGCAGCTCTGGCTGGTCACCCTAGAAAAGGCTTTGTTATTAATGCGCTGAGTAAAAAGAGATCAAGAAACTCCTAAGGAAAGAAACCAGAAGAATTTGTAGAAGTGTTTGCTTTATTAAAGGGTAGGCTTCTCCCCAACCCATCTCTACCAAGAGATATTTTACGAAGACATTAACAATTCCTGAATTAATTTTTTATATGCACGTTCTTATTTTGTAGAGATGCAAATAGATCCCTGGATATTTTTGATGAGAGATCACATCCACTCACAGTAAGTGTCACTTTTTAAGGTTGTATTTTTGTCTCATAGAATTGTGTTTATTTCATGCTGAAGTAAAAAATCATCTTCCTTGGGGGCCAGACTGGCACAGCAATAACACAACTGGAGCTACCTGGGAGAGTTCCAGCTTTGAACCGCAGGGCCTTTTTGTATGTGCCTGGCTCACATGTGCATGTGCTTATGGTCCAGGCTGGGTGGGGGTCGGTTGTGGCATGGAGACCCTGTATGGGGTACCTGACTGTGTCTTGTCTCTCCCCTGCTTCCTGTTCTCCATGGAAGACATAAATGAACTTAAAAATAATGAAAAAACTATTTTAAGTCTTTCTTCCCATCTCATGTTATATATAATCATCTGGTTAAAGCAGTGTTGTAATATAAGGATATGAAAGAATAAAAACTAACTTAAAGCTTTGTTTAATTAGTGAGCTCAGGTGAGTAAACCTCCTACCCAAATAACAGAAAATGTGTCTTTTAAAAAGATAATTTTCGGGGCTGGCAGGTGGTGTGGTGATTAAGGGTGCTGGACTCCCCACATGGCCGACTGCCGTTCAAGTTTCAGACCTGGTGGCTTGCTTTTCAACTTCCTCCCTCCCTCCTCTCCTCCTCGGCTTTCTCTGATCAAATTAAAATAAAATAGTTAAAATCTTCAAAAAATTTTTTTTCATTGACATCAAACTATAAATAGTTTTCACATATTTGTGATCTTTATGAGAGAATTAGAAAACTGTTTAATTTTTTTTCTTTGAGAGATTTTTGCTATAGGGTTTGTGTGTTTGCCAGAGAGAGAGAAAACTAGAAATCACTCCCTGGGGAGTATGGCCATGCCTCAGTCCCTTCTCTTCCATTCTCCTCTCGGGATTTTGGTCTTGTATGCACATATACCCGGGTGTGAGTTTTAAGCCAGTAGTAGGTCTGGGACTTGAACTGTGGTTGACTATGTGGGAGTCCAGCGACATAACCATTATGCCATCTGCTTGTCCCTGAAAACTGTTTAAATCTTAATCAATTAAAATGACATGAAAATTTTGCAATTCTGTTCTTTAGACCCATTAAGAGCCACTTTGGGGTGCTCAGTGCCCGCATGTGACTGGTGACTATTGTATCAAACAATGCATCCTTACTGGAAATGAAACTCTGTGTTCTTCCAGAGTTTTACTTTAGAGAAGCATGACCTATGATCGATAAGACTTTCAAACCTAAGCATGGTTTACATTAGGATAGAATTTTATGGAGGTAGGATGGAAAGGAGCATACATATTTTCTGAGTTTGTGCTTGTGTTTTTCCTTAATGAATGGCTATGGTACTAAATCATTATGACATTTTAATAACCCACTGTTTATATTTAAAAGACATGTCACCCAGTCTAAATTATTTTAAGGGACACACGAGCACAAATATGAAGACTGCTGTTTTCATTATACTTAATTTTTTTTTCTTTAGTGAATACTTAACATATTATCTTTTCTTCTTTCAGCGAGAAAAGGTTCCAGAGGAATACTTTAAGCATGATCCTGAACACAAATTTATTTACAGATTTGTTCGTACTCTTTTTAGTGCTGCACAGCTAACAGCTGAATGTGCAATAGTAACTTTGGTAAGATAACTTCTTATTTGTACAGCATCTTGAAATGGGTCTTGTACACAGGATATAGTCATTTTGCTAAAAGTAGGTTTCTGAAATTATCAAAATTTCGTTAATAGAAAGCTGTCCAAGGAAAGTAAATATGTTTGAGTCTAATAGTAATTATGATTTAAACATTGCCATTGCTTTTGTCATCGCATACCAATTGCTCTTAAAGGCAGCAGGAGAAATTTCTGGTTTCTGCCACCCATTCCATGCCTCAGTGCACACGGGCACGTGCAGTGTGTACACATGCGTGTAAGATGTGAGGTGTACGGGGTGGTGGGATGGGAAGCAATAATCGGTCCATCCGGTCCATAGGCAGAGACCAATTCAGCGCAGCTCTAAGCTGAGGCCCAGGCAGTTGTGATGTGTGTGTGATGGAGAACTCCTGCCCTGATTCTCCAGTCATTCCGACTGACCTCTTGTGCCTTTTCTTGAAGTTGCCCAGGATTATAGCACCAGCAGTATTTGGAAAAGTTTTGCTAGTTAGCCTGCTCAGTTGCAGCTGTGTCCTTACCTTTGTGTCCTCCATACAGAATTCCTATGGAAAAGACTTGATGATTTTGAATAATAAATTCTATACCAGTGATTGAGTTTTACTGCTCCCTATAGCAAACCTACAGGAGGAAGTCAGCTTGGAGGGGAAGATGACTTATGACTTACTCCTTTAGCATCTAGTTGCATTTTAAGAGAAGAGGCTAGTGTTGTGCACGTGGGTGGAAACCCCTCAATGAGCACTGATCATCATTTGGGAATGCTCAGCACCTGCTGGAGAGAGGCCAGAGAGGTCTTTTCATATGTAGACAGGTCATGCAAGAGGAGGGCAAACTGGGTTAGAAGAGTGGGAGTTCGTGGTCAACAAGTTCAGCTTGCTGTTCCTAGGAGGTAGTGGCAATGACCAGTAGCTGTTTGGATACGTGGACTGGAGCAGGAGTCTGAGCTAAAAGTAAAGCATGTAGAGTTAGCCGTTCACAAGCAGAGAAAATACGTGGCATGAAAAGTGGACAGAAGATGGCTCTGTAAGGACTGTCCGATTTAAGAGGCAAGTCCCCAGAGGAGTGACTAGAGTGACAGGAGAAAGCAGTAGAGGAAGGCTGGCTAAGACGAGTGACCTAAATGCTGCCATTAGCTACCAATAAGTTGCTCGTTCCATAAATGCCCACTGGTACGTCCTTTGTGCCCCTATCCCGAGTGGTAGTGTAGAGAGGAGAATCAGCCAAGTTCCTGCCTTTTTGAGTTTATGTTCTAGTGAAGAAACATTACTCACAGATTCCCGGTGTGGTAAATACCTAGAAAAAAAAGCAAGGTGGGGCGATAGTGATCAGAGGGGCTTACTATTATATCTGGAATGATCAGGAAGAGCTTCTGTAGGGGGCAGCATTTGAAACTGAACCTGGCTGAAGCCAGGAAGCAGAGGAGCGTG